CGAGCGCCCGCCTCGCCTCACGGGGGCCGAGCGCCCGCCTCGCCTCACGGGGGCCGAGCCTACCCCCGCCCCCGCTTCACAGGTCGCGCAAGCCCTGGAACGGCGCTCCTCCAGAGGTACGAACGCGCTTTCATTATGTCTGCTTTTAATCGTGTAAATACACTATCAAATAACTAATTAAAATTTAATAACAAATTAAATAATTTCAGTTAGTTCTGCCTGTGTTTACTTGCACAATGAAAGACGTTTCTATTCCTAGGGCTTTCCGGCTGAACGACACATGTTAAAAAAACAAAACTAGATGTCTGTAGGAGGAACAGAAACGTTTCCCTACCTTTCGGTAACTCCTGCGCGCTATACAAGCGCATTCACCGAGCCAGGCGCAGTTCTAGTTAGCTTCACCGCCAAGTTCATTAAGGTGACATAACTTATCGGGATGCCAAATCCCCGGTTATAAATAGCCAGGAGCGGGGCAGAAGCCTCCTGGGAACAATTTCCAAAACTGCAAAATCCTAGAATTACAGCTCTCCGAGGGAACCATTTTTCGGCATATCCCACAAGTAAGAGAGGCCCCTTACCAAGGGATGAGGGGATAAATCTTGTTCCCTATCACCCATGTTGCCAATACAGGAGGGCTAGTAACAATGGCCGGAGGCAGTCAGATAAAACGAGGGTGGGAGGCAGACGAAGAGTGCCAAGATGAACAGCCTTCTGCGTAATTTTAGCTTCAGTAGCTTCTTTCCAGCATCCTCTGTTGCTTTTGAATGGAAGTGACTCCATTAGTCAGGCATACATTTTATTTTAGTCAAGTTCATTTTTCTACAAAAGATGAGGTAGGAAAACTGATTCAATTTGTCTTTATGGCAAGCATCATGCATTTGGAGACGGCACGCATGAAGTCTTGGTTCTACCTTTGACTCCCCATCCAAACCTCAATAAACAGCATATTATTTATTTCTGAAAGGTTATTTTACAAGTTACTTAATTTTTTGGCACTTTATTGAATACAAATTGATTTTCTTCACATTTAAAAAGCAGGCTGAAGGCTTTTGACTGATTTTAAACAGGTAAAAACATAAAAAGTATGAACCTAGCAATGTTACAAATGGGGACGACGACAACACAAAACCAGGTTGTTTGATACAAGAAACACTCAACCTGTTTTTCTAAAGGATGCTACGGTTATGAAGACTATAACCTTGATTTCCAGAACTAAATCAGCATGCCTGCAAATGGTATTTGAACTACCAGGTAGAGATTTCATGTGGAGACAGGAAATTTGACAGCCATTCAGTCTTGTATTCATCGTGAGGCCTCAAGTAATTGAATGACTGGGGACATGTACACAAGTCTTCAAAACCTAGTCAGCACAGGAAATTGCCAAACGAGGTCTTCTAGACTGGGAGAAGTAAATCTGTTTTGATAGACAAAATCTGAATTGAAAATGGTGGTCTACTCTCTTGGAAGTTGTAACGTAATGAGATCTATTGAATCCTTAATCTCTTCTGAGGAAGTTTCCACCTCCTCAATCACAGGTCTCTGACAGGCTACTAGAACCCACTGGCAGCTCCTGATGGGCTTCCAAAGCTGGTCAGCCACCCTT